GTGCCACCGAGTGGGCGGAGCTTCGGTGGCACCCCCTGGCCACCCTCCTGACTTTTTCGACCATGCCCTGGGGTCATCCCTGCACAGATTTGACATTAGGAGCCACACTGTGCGCTCTTCACATAAAAGAAAACAGAATAGATAAAAACAGGGTGCACGTGTGTAAACTTTCTGGCTTCCATCTAGTTCTGCCACGTTTCTGGGGTCTGGAATTTTGGTGTCACACGCTTTAGACTCACCAAATAAAGAACTTTTGCAAGTCGGAAACAACTTTGGAATATTGTTAATTGTCTTTCTCCCCCCCCACACACACCCTTCGTGTCACCCTTGACTTCAGATGACTGCGTGGGAATGAGAGAGAATGGCTGATTCCAAGTCACTAAGAGCCACTGACTATTTCGAATATTTTCTGATTCTTTCTTCCTCTTTTTTGGGGGGTTCCCCCTAATCTCAGAATTACAACCTTCCTGGGTTGTTCCTCCTTGTTTTTTTTTCCCTAGCTACGGGTTGGAAAAGCCATGGAAAATCCATTGATTCCTTTTTGTTTTTGCAGAAATGAGGTTTTCACCTTGCATTAGCACAGTTTCACCCTGCTTGATGGGCCAGGCCGCAGGCAGTTGCCGTGTGAACACCAGCTAAGCCGTAAACCATGGTTTATAAGCTTCGGTGGGTTCAAGACAACACACTTAGCCTAAACCAAGTAAGCCATGTTAGAGCTGGGCTTCGCACTGTGGGCTAACCTTGATTTTTTTTTTAAAAAAGGCGGCTCTTTGGGAAGGTAAAGATTTAGGTGCTGATTTCCTCACAGCTTCAGGTTGCTCGGAATTCAGGATCCCGGGTGCCTGAGTCAGAAAGCTAACCGTGTTTCGAGCCTGGGAAATTGACTTGGCTCTCGGCATCCAGACAGGAAACGCTCTTCATTCTGGAGCACATCGTTCTAGACGAGAAAGGAACCCCCACTTGGATTCTCGCCATTTTAATCCAAATCATCTCCCAAGTGTCACCTTTGGGGGGGCGGAGTTGCCAAGTAGGAAAACTCCCACCCTCTATCATTCATGCCCTGGCCTTGTTCCTGCACAACACACAGCAGTGGATCACGGCTTGCTGTTTTTGCGGCGTTCTTTGCAGGCAGAAACATTTTGAGAGGGCTGTTAGAAATCGAGATTTGCGCTGGGTTCCTTCGGATTCTGGAAAAAGAGGGGCCACGTTCTGTAGTTGGGTCATTCTGCAGGTTGGTGCTTCTGTGTCCTGTCAGTCATCTGGGTTTCAGTAGGCACCCCTTTTAACTTCCCCTAGACATTTCCCTTTTTCAGGTGAATGAAATGTACACAAACTCTTGGTAGTTTCTTTATTTTTTTAATACCAGCGCGCCAGCAGGCCTAAACCCCCAGTGGCTCGACAAAAGAAATGCAAAATCGAATTTGCGCCCCGATAGGTTTGAAGCTGGTTCCATCGCGCTCTCGAGAAGCCCGTGGCTCTCAAAGTCCTGGGTTTGAGCGAGAGAGGCCAGGAAGCCAACGGAGAGTTAAAAAGGAGCCGAGATGCAAGCTTTTTTTTTGCTATAAATACTGCTGCATCCTGCCTGCAATTCTCTGAATAGCCCCGGGGTGGTTTTGAAGAGAAATGACATCATGTCCATGGGGCGATGGGTTTCTCTACAAACTCGGAGTGGCTCTCCAGCAGCAGACAGTGGGCCTTTTTAAATCCACCCTGCCCCCCCCCCCGCCGTTCTCTGCAAGCCACGTTTTGCTTGCCAAGAATGTAGGCGGCTTGCAAACCATTCGATGGCTGATACAGCGAGAAAGCGACCTGGCGGGGGGGTGGGGAGGGAGAGAGAATTCAGCACCACTTTGCGAGCTAGAGAAAGCTGCAAAGTTTTTAAAAAGAAGGGTGAGAATGCAGTCCGTGGACCCCTTTCGCGTAGCAAGGGCTTCTTCGAGTTGGCCCTCCGCCTGGGCTTTGCAGCAGGCAGCCCCACCCCTCTTGGACCAGGGGTCTGGATTCTAGAAGCGCGGACTCCGCACGCACGGTTCCACCTGGGTTCAAGGTGAGGTTCTGCAGACCTCCAAATGTTGCCGAGCAGGTAACTCCCAGCTGCACCGTCCTGAGAACCAAGCTTTTGGTTCCCCCCACCTCCCCCCCGCTTTGGGGACTGAAGCAGGTG